GCCTGTGTGGGGAGGACCCGCAGTGTTCCGGCAACACTGGGTTTGCCCCTGCTCATGGCGTGTGTGCTTTCCCCGTCTATACTGCTCAGGCTCCAGGCTGCTCTATAGGGAGCAGGTCCTGTGTTGCCTGCGGTTCCAGTTTTCGGGTACTCCACAAGAGCGCAGACTCGGTTGGGCCTGCGTTTTGTGCCTTCCCCGGCCCGAACAGCTCAGGCAGCCAGGAGCTTGATGAGCGCACTCTCCCTGGGTGCGGTGCGCCTTATCCCCTCTGTGGTTCCAGCCTTAGTTTCTGTGCACGCGGGTGCGCGCGCTCGCGCTGGTCTGGTGCACCTTGTGTCTGTCCTGGGGAGCTGGTCGCTAGCTGCAACCCTCCCGCCAGATGTCAACCATCCAGAATCTCAGGAAGTCTTTGGTTAGAAACTGGGAGCCTGTTTGCAGTTTGGTAGGGGATGCCGTCTCTGGGGCTGAGTTTCCCCTTTCCCGTCCCCCCTGCCTCCTGCCTCCGGAGGGGATGGGCTGGTCCGCCGCCAGCTAGCTCTTCTCTGGAATTGCTCAGTCTTTCTTTTGCTCTGCAAAAGGCCAGCAGTGTGTTCGGTTAGCGTGCTTTTCGCCAGTTATTCTTTCTCTCTTGCTATCCCACAGTTTAAGTTGCTGTCTCATATTAGCTCTCTCCAATTGCCTTCAGGGCATTCAGGCCCCATCCTTACCCTAAGCAATGCCGCCCACTGCTCTCCGTTCAGCCCCCACTTGCTGGTGGCAGATGCGAGCGTCTGGGGTACTTTTCTGCTGGGAGTTGCTTTTGAGCATGTAATCTGTGGATTTTATTTATTTTTCCTCCCAGTTAGGTTGCCCTCCAAGACTCGAAAACTTCCCCCAGACCCGCTAGTGAGAGGGTTTCCTGGTGTTTGGAAACTTATGACTCCCTTCCCAAGATGGGTCTCCATCCCTAGCTCTTTTGTTTCTCTTTTTATCTTTTGTATTTTGTCCTACCTCCTTTTGAAGACAATGGTCTGTTTTTCTGGGTGCCTGATGTCCTCTGCTAGCAATCAGAAGTTGTTTTGTGGAGTTTGCTCAGCATTCAAATGTTCTTTCCATGAATTTGTAGGGGAGAAAGTGGTCTCCCTGTCCTATTCCTCTGCCATCTTAGCTCCTCCCCGCTAGGTAAGGTTGTCTTAAAGTCTGCCCTTATATTTTGTAATGTTTTTCAGGTCTTTTGCACAGTCTTTTAAAAAATAAACATAAGGAAAATGTTAGCAGTCACCTGTATAGCAAGCCATAAGTTGGTGCCTCAAAGTCATATTCCAGGGTGCCAAGGAGGCTTGATTTTATTTTGCCATGAGTATGCTTACCTTATATTATTGTTTGTATTTATCATTTGACTGCTGATGTTAACTTCATGGGTATGGATAGAACTTAAGTAGTCCTGGGTAATTCGGTAGGCCTGGGTATGTTCCATTCTGCTCTATCAATCTTATTGCTAATTAATGTGTCCTTATTCCTCTGCCCTAAAATGATTTGACTTTAGGTATAACTTTGTGGATATCAGTGTATTTCTCCCATCTGCTGTCTACTATGGAGCTGCATGAGTGTGTGGCTTCTGTAGGGTAAACAGTATGAAATCCTGGATGATTCTGAGATGGAGTTATGCTGGATGTAGTTGATAAGGGCTATTGGAAGTGAAAGTGAAGTCGCTCAGTGGTGTCCGACTCTTTGTGTCCCCAGGAACTGTAGCCTACCAGGTTCCTCCATCCATGGGATTTTCCAGGCAAGAATACTGGAGTGGGTTGCCATTTCCTTCTCCAGGAGACCTTCCCGACCCAGGGATTGAACCTGAGTCTCCCTCTTTACAGGCAGACGCTTTACCGTCTGAGCCAGCAGGGAAGTCCAAACATTGAAAACTCTTCTCAGTATAAATAGTTTTAGAATTTTATTTTTGAGATTGACTTTAAGTTGAAAAAGTCAGGCCTGTCTGGGCCTAAGTTTATTTGGAAACTGAATCAAATTATCAGTGTAGGAAGGTTATTAGAGACTTGATCTGAAGAAGGGAGTTGATTCTAGACTATTCAAGTGACCAAGTGATACTGTTTCTTTAAAGAAGTTGGGAAGAGAACGTTATTTAAGGAAATAATAATTTCAAAGCAGTAATAGATTCATACGTTCTCTATTAATACATTTATGCAAAACAGCAAGCATGTATCTCTGCTCAACGTGCATTTTCTGCACCTGTAATGTGTGTTGAAAGTGACAGAAGCTTTGCCTTCAGTGAGGTCTCAGGCTCACTAATCCCCGTCACCTTTGCCTTTAACTGGGGACTAAAAGCACCGCATGGGGTGTTGTCATGTGAAGCTTGATCTCGGTGACCTCAGTGGGTCTCCTTCCTTCTGTGAGTCATCAGTTCAGATCAGTTCAGTTGCTCAGTCATGTCCAACTCTTTGCAACCCCATGGACTGCAGAGCGCCAGGCCTCCCTGTCCATCACAAACTCCCGGAGTTTACTCAAACTCATGCCCATCAAGTCAGTGATCCATCCAACCATTTCATCCTCTGTCGTCCCCTTCTCCTCCTGCCTTCAATCTTTCCCAGCTTCAGGGGCTTTTCTTATGAGACAGTTCTTCACGTCTGATGGTGAAAGTATTGGAGTTTCAGCTTCAGCATCAGTCCTTGCAATGAACACTCAGGACTGATCTCCTTTAGAATGGACTGGTTGGNTTTAAGAATTTTCCATAGTTTGTTGTGATCTACACAGTCAAAGGCTTTGACATAATCAATAAAGCAGAAGTAGATGTTTTTCTGGTATTCTCTTGCTTTTTCAATGATCCAATACATGTTGGCAATTTGATCTCTGGTTCCGCTGCCTTTTCTAAATCCAGCTTGAACATCTGGAAGTTAGCGGTTCATGTACTGTTGAAGGCTGGCTTGGAGAATTTTGAGCATTACTTTGCTAGTGTGTGAGATGAGTGCGATTGTCTGGTAGTTTGAACATTCTTTGACATTGCCTTTCTTTGAGATTGGAATGAAAACTGACCTTTTCCAGTCCTGTGGCCACTGCTGAGTTTTCCAAGTTTGCTGGCATATTGAGTGCAACAATTTCACAGCATCTTTTAGGATTTGAAATAGCTCACCTGGAATTCCGTCACCTTCACTAGCTATGTTTGTAGTGATGCTTCCTAAGGCCCTCTTAACTTCGCATTCTAGGATGTCTGGCTCTAGGTGAGTGATCACACCATTGTGGTTATCTGGGTCATTAAGATCTTTTTTGTATAGTTCTGTGTATTCTTGCCACCTCTTCTTAATTTCTTCTGCTTCTGTTAGGCCCATACCATTTCTGTTCTTTATTGTGCCAATCTTTTGCATGAAATGTTAATATACACATTGGCCAGGAAGGGCATGACATTTCCCATAGAGAAGTGATTTCCTGATCTAGTCTTTGTTTCCCATAAGCCTCACCATTACATCTTCCTTTTTTCCCATAATTTTAAAAGATGGGAAGTCAAAGCAAGACTGCTAGTTTGGTTTTTGTTTGCTGTCTTTATTGAGCCTAGTAATGGTTGAAATATTTTACCAAGTGTTATTTTTTTGTTAATTAATTTTAATTGGAGGCTAATTATTTTACAGTATTATAGTGGTTTTTGACATACATTGACATGAATCAGCCAAGGGTGTACATGTGTTCCCCATCCTGACCCTCCCTCCCACCTCCCTCCCCATCCCATCCCTCAGGGTCATCCCAGTGCACCAGCCCTGAACACCCTCTCTCATGCATCGAACTTGGACTGGCGATCTATTTCACATGTGGTAATAAACACACTTCAATGCTATTCTCTCAAATCATCCCACCCTCGCCTTCTCCCACAAAGTCCAAAAGTCTTTCTTTACATTTGTGTTTCTTTTGCTGTCTCACATATCGGGTCATTGTTACCATTTTTCTAAATTCCATATATATGCATTAATATACTGTACTGGTATTTTTCTTTCTGACTTACTTCACTCTGTATAATAGGGTCCAGTTTCATCCACCTCATTAGAACTGATTCAAATGCATTCTTTTTAATAGCTGAGTAATATTCCATTTTATATATGTACCCACAGCTTTCTTATCCATTCATCTGCTGATGGACATCTAGGTTGTGTCCATGTCCTGTCTATTGTAAATAGTGCTGTGATGAAAATTGGGGTGAACGTGTCTCTTTCAATTCTGGTTTCCTCAGTGTGTGTGCCCAGCATTGGGATTGCTGGGTTGTGTGGCAGTTCTATTTCCAGTTTTTTTAGGGAATCTCCGGTTTTCTCCATAGTGGCTATACTAGTTTGCATTGTTATTTTTCACATGTAATCCAAGGACTCAGTTTTAGAAATCAAGTATATATTTTGCATTTTAAACCAATATGGGAAAGACCCATAAGTGTACATCAGATTACTCTGGCCTCATCACTTTCTGACATCAGCAACTGTGCTTTGAAGGATAGAAAACAGCAAAGCTGTGGACAGGCAGAAAAGCCATGTAATATACAGGCAGCAAACTTTTCCTCTCTTATCTGGTCTCCATTTCAGTTGGTATAGATACTGTCTGAATTTTGCAACTTGGGTGAACCATTTTTCTATTGGTTTGGCCAGTAGTTCATTTGGGTTTTCCCTAAGATCTTGTGGGACAACTCGAATGAACTTTTTTGATCAACCCAGTATATGCTACTGACTGCTTCCTAGTGCAGAGCTTCCACAGAGAGGGTCTCCACTATCAGGAAGTGTAGCTCTCACTCCATGAAAAATGGAAAATCTGTCTGCTCTCCTCTTTTAGATGCCTGGTCTGCTAAGCTGAAACCTGAAAATCTAACTGTTGGAGGGAAGAGGGAGAGGAGGGTACCATTCCTGTATAGGCCCTGTTTGTAAACAGTGCCATGTTTAGTGGCTCAGAAAGTGGCCCATCATGAGACAGTGGTTCTTTAGACTGGAAAATGGATCCTGAACTGATGGAATGAGAGTATTTTCCTCCCAGTTTCTGAAAGGATGACAGTGTAATGGAGTTATGTAGTGTTAGAGACATGAAACAGCCCTTAGTGGTAGACTGACTCCAGACTTGTCCTTTTGAGAGAATGCAAGTGAGAAAACAGTTAAGTGAGTTGCCCAGGGTTGAGGCTGATGTCCCGTAAGTCTCTTGTAGGCCCTCTTACCTAGCATTCTAGATGGCCCAGGTGTCTCACGGGTAGGACTTACCCCCTTCCAGGCTCTGTTGTAAATGCCAGTTATTTGTTACTGGCAAGTGTTTCTTCTTTCCTTTGCAATGTGACCAAACCGAAACTTTCCACTTCAGTTGGTGTTAAGAAAGGAAAAAGGAAAAAGAAAGTCAGAAAAAAGCATTGTGTGCAGTGAATAGCTCCTATAAGCATGTGCTGTCATTTGGCTTTCAGACTCTGTCTTTTCAGGTGGAAGTGTTCTCCTCTTTGTTGTTCACATCAGTTTAACAGCTTGGAGCTTGCTCATCTCCAACCCACGGTGCTTCGTGCATCCCACTGCCCTGTACCTGGGTTTCCTCTGTCTGGCATTTAGGCATTTCTCTGGATCCAGGCTCTAATACTTTGGCCAGCTGATGCAAAGAGCTGACCAATTGGAAAAGACCTGATGTTGGGAAAGATTGAGGGCAGGAGGAGAAGGGGATAGCAGAGGATGAGATGGTTGGATGGCATCACCAACTCAATGGACATGAGTTTGAGTAAACCCCGGGAGATAGGGAAGGACAGGGAGGCCTGGCATGCTGTGGTCCATGGCATCGCAGAGTCGGACATGAGTGAGTGACTGAACAGCAACTGGATCCAAGAGCCTCTGTGTGCAGCTTGGTGCTGCTTACACAAGTCAGACCGCTGGTGGTGCTCCTTCTCTCCTAACCATGTCCAGGGCCCCAAAGACCACCTCTCTCAAGCAATCATTCTGGATCCTTCCCCACCCCCAGAACTGGTTATCGTCTCTGTATCTCTGAAGTATCTATCAAAGAGCTTTCTTCATTTTTTAATGAGTTCCCTGTTAGATATTGCTTTACAATTTCCTTTTTTATCTTTTTCTGAACCCTTCCCCTCAGATTTTAGCATGATAACTTAAATGTAATGAACCAAATATTAAGTAAAGTAATAAATGAATATGCAGGTGGTAATAGTCAAAGTGAGTTACTCATTTGATGTTTATAAAATTGAATCAAAAGGACCATGACTTTGGAGTTTTAAAATTTTTGAACCCCTTAAATTTATGATGTATTGCTCCTATTTTAAAGATTCGGCAGTTGTTCACAGTGAAGGCGAAGCTCAGCAGTTAGATTGGTACAGGAGGGCCAGTGCAGCCCTGCTCAGCAGGCGGCCCCTCCCGCGCTGGTCTCTGTGCTGCGCGGTGCGGTGCGGAGGCCGTGCGGAGGGTGTCGGGAGCGAGGGACCCCGACTGCCTCAGCCCCGTTTCACACGTTGTCCCGTCAGTTCCATCACCGCAGCCTACAGTCTGGGTGTGGAACATGAGCCAGAATGAACCTGCCTCTGGGAAGCTTGTAGTTTATCAAGGGAAACCGCTTATTAGTAGTAAGTAGAAAGTGAGTCAGGGCTGCAATCAAGGTTGGAGGTGAGGCCAGTCAATCACTCTTTAAAGTAAGATCTAGTTCACATCATTGATGTGTTTTCTCACAGTTTGTCCCTCTAGTAATTTCTTTTTATTATTATTATTATTATTATTATTATTATCGTCCCACTGCTTTTTTTTTTAATTGAAGGCTAATTACTTTACAGTATTGTGGTTTTTGCCATACATTCTCATGAATCAGCCATGGGTGTACATGTGTTCCCCATCCTGACCCTCCGTCCCACCTCCCTCCCCACCCCATCCCTCAGGGTCCTCCCAATGCACTTCTAGTAATTTCTTGCGGCACTCTTAGTAATTCTACACCCTGAAATACTCTTCCACATAATCAGGAGTTTCCCACTGGTAAGAGACAACCCATATACAGACTCGTTTTATTTATCATACTGTTGTTCAGTCATTAAGTCATGTCCAACTCTACATGACCCCATGGACTGCAGCATGCTAGGCTTCCCTGTCCCTCACCATCTCCCACAGTTTCCCAAGTTCATGTCCATTGATTCAGTGATGCTATCCAACCATCTCATTCTCTGTTGCCCTTTTTTCCTTCTGCCTTCAGTCTTTCCCAGCGTCAGGGTCTTTTCCAGTGAGTCAGCTGTTCGCATGGGGCGGCCAAAGTATTGGAGCTTCAGCTTCTTTATACTTGCTTATTAATTCATCTGTTTTTAGTGGACTGTGTGTATACATTTGACTTTGCGACCTCTGTGTGAAATTAATAGTATATTCCAACATTATATCCACATTTGAAAAATAGAAAATTCTTAATTATACCCTTGCCTTGTTTTTTGAGGACTTTTGACCAATTGCTTTGTATTTATCTATGAATATCTGGTTAGAGAAGCAAGGCCTAACTTTAAGGTTGTTTGGTAATGAATGTCCTTGTCATTCACTATAAAATCACTGTTTTCCCTCCAGGTCTTGGTAGTAATATCAGAATGTTTGTACTTGCCATTTCCAAGAAATTTATCTGAACATTCTGGTAAGTATGACAAATTTATGAGATAGAGTATCTTTAGAAGTCTGTGGTATGCCTTTCTGTGCTCATAGTGAATTTCCCCATGGTTTGCTGGTGACCAAACCATAACCACTACCAAATTCCTTGAAATGTGTTCTCTAGATAGATTTGAGCAAGCATTCTTTTATGTCCTCTCTTACATTAAGGAACATTTCATTTTGGCAATTACTGTTTCCCTTGAATTGTATGCCCTTCATTAATCAGTTGACAATGTTCTCCTTCATTCAAACTGGGATGAGCAAGGTGGGAGGGGAGGTGGCACTCACCAATAATGGCCCTGCGCCCTTTAAAGCAGTCTTCCCAAATCCTTTCACTACTGCACACTGTTTCTGGGACCAAATACCCCTGGATTTCCATGCTTTTATTCCTGTTGTTTGCAGAAAGACTTGGTTTTCTGGGCCATAGTTGTGTCCTGTGGAATCTTAGTTTCCTGAGCAGGATTGTACCCGCACTTCCTGAAGGGGAGGTGCGGAGTCCTAACCACTGGACCGCAAGCAGGGCTCCTTGAAGACTCATGAGACTTTGTAATTGTTGAATTTTATGTGAGCTTAACTAAATGAGCTTATAATTCTTTTTTAATTCTTACAGTTTTTAAGGCTTTCAGACTTCCATATATAATTATAAACTATGTTATATTCCTTAGAATTCTTAAAAGTAACAGAATCCCAGTTTAAAGTAACCTACAGGAAAAAAGAAAAATCCATTAGTTTACAAAGCTGAAAAATCCAAGGATGTTCTGGTTTCATGCTTAGCCTAAAGATGATAGGTTTCTGTCTCTGTGAAGCTGATTCAGTGGCTTTCAACAGTCCCAACTCACATTTTATCAGTTTAATAATCCCTCTAGAAAGAAAGAAAACTTTTCCTCCTCACTCTGGCCAAAAATTCCTGGAAAGTACTCCAACTGGCTCTGCTTAAGTCAGAGTTTGAACCAATCACCATGACCAGTGAGTGTTTCACTGAGCATTCTACAAGGTACCTAACACAGAGCACAGAGGAACCTTTGCCCTCCATGCCCCTGGGCTGTGCCCAAGTCAGCTTGGTCAGCGAGTCTCCAGAGAGAAGTGGAGATGCCCTGGGTGGGGCTAGGATGCCATCCAGAGATCTGTCCTTTGTGGTAACATAGTTTCAAGATGGTGAAAGCCATCCTATGCCCCACTGTTTCATTTCACAGCTAAATGCAACCGACTACTGAATGACCTTTTTAAAATTGAAGTATAGTTGATGTCCAATGTTGTATTTGTTTCAGGTGTTCAATAGAGTTAATTCATTATTTTTATAGGTTATACTCCATTTTAAGTTATGATATGGTTATATCCCTGTGCTGGATATTACATCCTTGTATCGTGTAGATTTTATACCTAGTAGCTTGTACCTCTCTTCCCCTTCCCCTCTCTTGCCCCTCCAGTTGGTCTCTTGCCCCTCCGGTTGGTAACAACTTGTTTGTTGAGTCTGTACAAGCCACTAGTTTGTATGAGTGTGTTTCTGTTTTGTAATATTCATTTGCTTGTTTTATTTTTTTAGATTCTACATACTAGTGAAAGCATTTTGAGTGCCCATTGTTTAATCAGAGAATGTTCCCCCTCTCTTTTTTCCACAGAGCAGAATCTCAGTGTTTTCTGGGCCATAGTTGTGTCCTGTGGAATCTTAGTTTCCTGAGCAGGATTGTACCCGCACTTCCTGAAGGGGAGGTGCGGAGTCCTAACCACTGGACCGCCAAGCAGGGCTCCTTGAAGACTCATGAGACTTTGTAATTGTTGAATTTTATGTGAGCTTAACTAAATGAGCTTATAATTCTTTTTTAATTCTTACAGTTTTTAAGGCTTTCAGACTTCCATATATAATTATAAACTATGTTATATTCCTTAGAATTCTTAAAAGTAACAGAATCCCAGTTTAAAGTAACCTACAGGAAAAAAGAAAAATCCATTAGTTTACAAAGCTGAAAAATCCAAGGATGTTCTGGTTTCATGCTTAGCCTAAAGATGATAGGTTTCTGTCTCTGTGAAGCTGATTCAGTGGCTTTCAACAGTCCCAACTCACATTTTATCAGTTTAATAATCCCTCTAGAAAGAAAGAAAACTTTTCCTCCTCACTCTGGCCAAAAATTCCTGGAAAGTACTCCAACTGGCTCTGCTTAAGTCAGAGTTTGAACCAATCACCATGACCAGTGAGTGTTTCACTGAGCATTCTACAAGGTACCTAACACAGAGCACAGAGGAACCTTTGCCCTCCATGCCCCTGGGCTGTGCCCAAGTCAGCTTGGTCAGCGAGTCTCCAGAGAGAAGTGGAGATGCCCTGGGTGGGGCTAGGATGCCATCCAGAGATCTGTCCTTTGTGGTAACATAGTTTCAAGATGGTGAAAGCCATCCTATGCCCCACTGTTTCATTTCACAGCTAAATGCAACCGACTACTGAATGACCTTTTTAAAATTGAAGTATAGTTGATGTCCAATGTTGTATTTGTTTCAGGTGTTCAATAGAGTTAATTCATTATTTTTATAGGTTATACTCCATTTTAAGTTATGATATGGTTATATCCCTGTGCTGGATATTACATCCTTGTATCGTGTAGATTTTATACCTAGTAGCTTGTACCTCTCTTCCCCTTCCCCTCTCTTGCCCCTCCAGTTGGTCTCTTGCCCCTCCGGTTGGTAACAACTTGTTTGTTGAGTCTGTACAAGCCACTAGTTTGTATGAGTGTGTTTCTGTTTTGTAATATTCATTTGCTTGTTTTATTTTTTTAGATTCTACATACTAGTGAAAGCATTTTGAGTGCCCATTGTTTAATCAGAGAATGTTCCCCCTCTCTTTTTTCCACAGAGCAGAATCTCAGATCAGAGAAGGTTCATGTAACTGAACAGTTGCAGGATGTAGAGGAGGAAAAGGATGATTCAAATGAAGAAGAAAACAAGGACACCCTTGTGGATGACGAGGACGAGAAGGAGGACCTAGGGTACGAGGAGGAGGCAGAGGAAGAGGAGGAGGATGGCCCGGCTGCGGGCGCGGATGAGGAGAAGACTGATGCCCGGGGCCCGGAGCCCCCGAGGGAGGCCCGGGAGGGCGAGGCGCCCGGTGAGGTGGCAGATGACGGCCTGGAGCAGCCCGGCCCGGCTGGCTCAGAGGCGGTGGGAGACTCGTTGAGACAGCGCAGGAGTCAGCAGGCTGACAAGGGGCCGTCGGCCTGAGGACAGTGTTTCAAGGAACACAAACCAAAAGAATATGTTAACTTCCCCTTTTGTCTGCAGTTTAAACCAGATCCTTATTTTCTTTTTGAATGAGCAAGCTTCTCTTAAACAATAATCATTAGCCATTTAGTCTCATGGCGTTAAGCCTCGTGTGTGTTAGGGAGAATCTTTCAGGCGTGACAATCAGGCTACAGAAAAACAAGCATGGTGCTAGGGTCTGTTTGGGGCCGGGGGTGAGCACACGTTTGCTTACTCCGGGCTACAGAGCTCTGACCAGAGAAGGCGGTCCCCAGTGTCAGGAGCACTGTTACGGGCACATCCAAGGCCGAGGCCCTTCAAGTGAAGGCAGGGCAAGCTGAGCACCCTCAGAGTGTAGCAGACATCTTGCTTCCTCTTGTTTGGGTATTTATTTTTGTCAAACTAAGAAACATCAGGCACCATATACAGGGGTACTTTTTAGAGATAGAAGTTGAGAGGGCCTTGGAGATTATTGTAGAAAAAAGCTTGGAAATGTTCCTAACTCTGAACCTCCCTTCTTGTGTTTCATTTCTTACCTTTAACATTTCCAGTTTTCCCACAATGGGCCTGTGGGCCCCCCACCCTCTGAACAGTGCTTCTCCAGTGAGAGGACTCGGGCGGCAGGCAGCTCGATATCAGCTGTGTGTGTTTTGCCTAACGGTTTAGATGATCACGCAGCACAGCCCACGAAGCCGCGACTGCCAAGCGTCTCAAACAAAATGTTGTTACCTTTGGAGATTCAAAAGGAAGTAGCAGCTTTACAGGAGAGATTTTGGTTGTCTTTAGCCAAAATGTAGTCTTTTTAAAATTTTTTTCAAAAAGCTCCTTTAGCAATATTCTTTTATTGAAGAATATTGAAGTCAGAAATCTCCTACATCTTGCCAGTGCAAGGTAATCTTACGATGAAAACTTGAATACTGTGTTGTTTTGTTTCCATTTCAAAGGGTTCCCTGACTCTTGAACCAGTTTAATAATAACTGAAGAAACATTTCTGGTTTTCCTTCACTGATATGCTTTTGATGAAAGAACTAACGAAAGTGTATATCTGAAAATGAAAGGTTTGATTTCATTCACTTCTTCCTTAATCTTGTAAAGAATTTTATTCCTATAAATCTCAATGCTTAGTCTGCTAAAAGTACCCAGGGGGCTCAATGTCCTTTAAAAAATCCATCCATCTATCTGATCTATGTCTTAGAATAAATTCAGAATATTAGATTCCAAGCTTATGAAAGGTGTCTAAAGTTTTTTATTCCAGATGGAATAATAAGTAGTACAGGTTTATGGAATTNTGGATCATATGGTAGATCTACTTTCAGTTTTTTTTTTTTTTTAATTGAAGGATAATTGGTTTACAGAATTTTGTTGTTTTCTGTTAAACCTCTGAATCAGCCATAGGTATACATATATCCCCTCCCTTTTGAACCTCCCTCCCCATCCCACCCCCTAGGTTGATTCAGAGTCCCTGTTTGGGTTTCCTGAGCCATATAGCAAATTTCCCTTGGCTATCTAGTTTATATCTGGTAATATAAGTTTCCATGTTACTCTTCATCTTTAAGAAGAAATATGCAGTACACTCCTATCTGCTGTTTAGATAACCCTTATCTTGTATTAACTTGGGCTCACTGGAGGAGGGGGAGGTTCTGAAACTCTGCCCTGATATGGCTGAATGAGCCTATTGCAAGCCTCACACAAAGGGAGTTTTTATTCTGACAAGAGTCCAGTTTTTAGAGTTGGTTATTTTTCATCTTTCCCACTTAGTCGCCTGATAGTCTCATCCCCCAGTGTGATGACATTAAGAGTTGCCAATAATTTTTCTCTTTAGACAGCAATACAGTCTCAAGTTTGAGGCCATCACAGAACTGACAGGCTGGGAAAACCTTGACTTGTGCTCACTTCTTGCCCGACCACCATCTGGGGCTCTGACACCTCCTCACCCAAAGCACCAGTACCAATGGTACCTCCAGGGAGGCAGCTCCATCTCCCTGATACCAGGAAGCCTTTCTGGAGCAGAGATAAGCTGAACCTGCCCTCCTGGTACTGGATTCTGTTTTCTTTTCTAATCAGCTGAAACAAAATTTTCAAAGATAATTCAATTCAAGTTCAACAGTATGGAATAAGCAAGTCTTCATAGTTTGGCTTTTCTGTATGATACTTACCCACAAGCCCCCTCCCCCATATTGAAATAGTTCTTTTTCTGTGAGTGAAATGTTTTACTAAAGGAGACAGAATGAAGAAATAAAATCTACTTTGGCTTTTTATAAATGTAAGGCCAATTTCCAGCTGGACTTCTAATAGTATTTAATTATATAATAAAACTGTATTTTCTTTCTCAGCAATACTAAAAAAAAAAATAGAGGAAGAGGAGGAAACAGTTTGGAGATGTGGATTCATTAAAAGTTGAAGTATTTGCTGTGGGAACTGTTTTTACAGTTTTTTTTTTTTTTTTTTTTNAGGCTGATACTGTCAGTGGAGAAAGCCAAATTTTGACTCTCTTATGGCCCAAATCCTTGTTGATAGCTGTGGTATTTCTACATGATTTGGGTGTGTGTGATTTGCGTAGATGATAGAAGTGTCTTTTAAGGCAAGTACTTGGCATGTGACTTTCTATTACCAAGTCCATTAAGAGTGAAGCCTGATTTACAGAATGAGAAACATTAAGGAGTCCAAAGAAGGGTACAAATGATAAGACATACCTGAGCTTTTAGCCTAAAATGTTAAATTGGCATGAAGTAAGAAAAGGAAGGGGAGACTGGTGCTTTTGTTAATGTGTATCAGTAGCTGCATTATGTCCTTTATCTCAGTGTTAAAGTGTTATTTCTGCCAGTATTATAAATGTGTGGTTCATCCATCCTTTCAAATAATAACATTTGGGAAAATAGTGATGTAAATCTTCTGTGCCAATAGAAAAGTTCCTTCTTGTTCAGTATCTGTTTATATCAGTCTACATTATGATCCCCTTTAGAAGATTATAGCTTATTTTGAAAACCAAAAGTGGAGTCAAGTCAGATCAATCTGGATGGGGCAGCTTTTTGAGCATCTTTCCTGAGCCAGGAGGTTTGCTCAAGGCCTTTGATCGTTTCAGATCAGGACACATGGCCTTCAGATGGCTTATTCTCAGTGAAACTTTGTGTGAATTGTGACACTGTATATATATGACTCATACAACTTTAACATGTTTCAGTGTATTTTAATCATTTGTTACTAAGCAGTGCAAATGTAGCTTCTTCATGCAAATGTAGCTTTATACTAAAAATAGTATTTATTTGTATAGCAATACATTATACATTTGTATTTATATTCTTGTAATTGTCTTAATTTTTTAGCCTAGTGATACTTGTTTTTCTCTTCATCTGTATTTTCCTCAAATGGCATCAGCAGCAACTGGGGTAGGAGATCAAGATATGAGCCTCAGGCAGTACATTGCGTGAATTACAGATCACCATATCACAGAATTGTATGTGATCCTTGATGCTATTTGTCTTCATTTTATTGTAAATTTCCACTTGCATCAAAACCTAATGATGGTGATAACTAAGTAAAAAGAAAACAAAACATAAGTTCCTTTTCATACAAGAAATTCACAGAAGTCATTTGCCTAGGCAGTGAAAAATATTACTTTGTTAAAAAGTAATTTTCACGTGTCCATCCTCCATCCTGTCTGTTCATTGTTCCTCTCTTCCTCCTCCGTGACTTGAATCCAGAACCCTTGCTTTAGTTCCTCTGACAGGTTCACAAAAACTCAGGAATGAGTGCAAAGATCCAAGGCTTCCTCCTCATCATAGTTGTTGTGTTGCCTATGGAAACTCGCTGACTTCAGGTCCCCTCTTTCCTGAGGTCTGGAAGTGGCCGGCGCTGGAGCAGATGGCAAGGGATGCTGCTAACCCTGCAGGACCCTGAGCTGACCTGGTCTCCTGGGACATACAGAGGACTGCACTGATCCTTCCTTGTCAGTATAGCAGTGGAAAAGCCCAAAGGACAAACTCCTTCAGAGACTGGGGTGAAATAATGGAATTAGAGTTTTCACTTTTGAGAGATGTTAGGAACATGTGTGGGCTTTCCTGGTAGCTCAGCTGGTAAAGAGTCTGCCCGCAATGCAGGAGACCCCAGTTCAATTCCTGGGTCGGGAAGATCCCCTGGAGAAGGGCTAGGCTACCCACTCAAGTATTCTTGGGCTTCCCTGGTGGCTCAGATGGTAAAGAATCCACTTGCAATGTGGGAGAACTGGATTCAATCCCTGGGGTGGGAAGGTGCTGCCCTGGAGGAGGGCATGGCAAACCACTCAGTATTCTTGCCTGGAGAATTCTGTGGACAGAGGAGCCTGGTGGGCTGCAGTCCTTGGGGTCACAAAGAGCTGGACATGACTAAGCAACTAAGCACACAGGGATGTGTAGTAAGAACAAAATGATTAAATTTCCATATGACCAAGTCCTTAGAGAAACTTGCTCAGCATACTAATGAAAGAACATCCACTATGTGGTATCTTCACCTACTTGGACTTGGTCATGCATCCTTGGTGGGAGCAAAGCCTGCAGCTTTTGAAACCAACACTGAGATGCAATCCCCTTCTTTGCTCCAATCTTGGGGGTTCTTTGAAACCTATTGCACTATAATAGGTTATGTCTTCTTAGGACATGTGACCCTCTTGAGACTTAGAACAGGATTAGGCAGTCTAGCCTGTGTTAGTTCAGATCAGTTCAGTTGCTTAGTCATGTCCAACTCTTTGCGACCCCATGGACTGCAGCATGCCAGGCCTTCCTGTCCATCACTAACCCCCGGAGTCTACCCAACTCATGTCCATTGAGTCGGTGATGCCATCCAACCATCTCATCCTCTGTCATCCCCTTCTCCTCCTGCCCTCAGTCTTTCCCACCATCAGGGTTTTTTCAAATGAGTCAGCTCTTCACATCAGGTGGCCAAAGTATTGGAGTTTCAGCTTCAGCATCAGTCCTTCCAATGAATAGTCAGGACTAATTTCCTTTAGGATGGACTGGTTGCATCTCCCTGCTGTCCAAGGGACTCTCAAGAGTCTTCTCCAACACCACAGTTCAAAAGCATCAATTCTTCAGTGCTCAGCTTTCTTTATAGTCCAACTCTCACATCCATACATGACTACTGGAAAAACCACATGGAACAACAGATTGGTTCCAAATAGGAAAAGGAGTATGTCAAGGCTGTATGTTGTCACCCTGCTTATTTAACTTATATGCAGAGTACATCATGAGAAACCCTGGGCTGAAAGAAGCACAAGCTGGAATCAAGATTGCCAGGAGAAATACCAATAACCTCAGATAGATGATACCACCCTTATGGCAGAAAGTGAAGATGAACTAAAGAGCCTCTTGATGAAAGTGAAAGAGGAGAGTGAAAATGTTTGCTTAAAGCTCAGCATTCACAAAACTAAGATCATGGCATCTGGTCCCATCACTTCATGGCAAATAGATGGGAAAACAGTGGAAACAGTGGCTGACTTTATTTTGGGGGGCTCAAAAATCACTGCAGATGGTGACTGTAGCCATGAAATTCAAAGACACTTATTCCTTGGAGGGAAAGTTATAACCATCCTAGACAGCCTGTGTTAACAGACTCCCAAATCTCAGGGGCTTTCAGAACAAGGATAATTTTATTATTGTTTCTCTGAGTTCAGCTGTCCCAGACAGCAGAGGCTGTCATGCAGGTTTTCCTCTGCATGACTGCAGTCAAGGGAGACTCTGGCTGTGTAATGTGTGGCTTCTGAGGCAGCTGTGTTCACTCTGCCCGTCACTGTGGAGGTGAGAGCACAAGGTGTGCTTCCAGGGGGTGTCAGAGCCTGGCTGAGTCCCTTCTGTGTACACGTCCTGGGAGAGTTCACGGCCGAGCTGCAGTGGGGTTGGGCTGTGTTGTCTTGCCATGTGCTTAAGAAAAGTGAGGATTGCGAGCCAGCATCTCTGCCACAGTGACTTATCTTACCTATCTCTGTAACTCAAGTGCCTCACGAAAGGTAAGCTCCTGAGAAATGTTAGTAATATGAATGTCACGTCACTGGAGAGGGAAGAACACATGCGGACCCAGGGCTGGCTTCTTTCTGAACATTCCTATCATTGATCTTCAGGATACCAGAGTTTTCAGAATGTTAGAGGTATGTTCTCATGGAGTTCATTTTTGGAGAGATGGAATCAACGAGTGCAATAAGAATGACAAATAAAAGAATTAAGAGATGCTATGTGAGTTTATAAGAAAGGAACCTGGTCTGGGCGGAGAGTTTGAATGGTGTGTGTGACCAGGAGGGAAAGATTAGGAGTTTCTAAGGCAGATATGGACTTTGAACCCCCCAACAGGAGCAACTTTTAAGCTGCAAATATTGAAAAACAGGATTAGCATTTATCTCAATGGTAGATTCTTAAGTATTCAGAGTGGGTTCTGGACTTCATTTTTTCCCTTTTTTTTTAGGAAATGAGAGAGGAAGTTTCTTGTTAACCCTTGCATGAGATTTTTCTCCCATTTCTATATCTTTGATATCTAATCAGTAATTTATAAATCTCCCTAAATGGGTTTCTAGTTAATAGATGTCTGATTAATCATGTTAACCTTAAAAATTATACTTTGGAAAATTTTATACCATCAGAATTCTTTGTGTTTTGTTGTCCCTGTTGGGACATATAATTCCTAAAATTATGATTAGTTACTTTGGTAGAGTTCAGAGGATAAAGCCCAAACTCAGAGGAACAACCTGCCAAGTTTACAAAATTACAGAGCTGATACTCTATGGAATTGTCCTTCAATCTCTAGATCTCTGTAAAATAAATTCTGAGCATGAGTCTTGATCTAATAAATAGCATTAGAAACCAGCAGGTTATGGATTAACCATTGACTTTTAACTCTTTTGACTAATAAAAATATTGTACAGGATATTCTAAGACTTTTCACATCCTTAACTCCTTCTTAGATGGGAAGTAGCTGTGGCAAAGCTATAGCTATACTGTGGCATCAGATTTTTTGACTCTCCTTCACAGCCTTTATTCCACTGACTCTGGAAAAGTGTCACCTCCTAACAGGGTCAAATTGTCCTATTAAATGGCATAAAATAAGGTGATTTTTTTCTTCTATGCTTCTAAACACATATGAATAGTGTTGACATTTGTTTTAAAACTGCTACCTGTTTTAATGCTATAGCAGAAAGCAACCTCCCTACCCACCTCCATCCTGTGAGTACAGCACAATCCTATTGACAAGTTAAAATAGTGACCTCAAGAAACAGTTAAGCCCATGACTGTCTATGAGCTTTCTCATGAGATGAACTGCC